TAACCTAAATGTGAGTAAAACCCCATTCCAATCCCTAGTGGGAATCAAACACTGGTCTATCACAAAGAAAGACAATAACCTAACCAATAGGCTGTCAATCAATTCCCAATTTTCATCATAAAATTATACCGTTCATGGATAATGGTAATTCATAGTATCATAGGTCATGGTTGCTATTGTAACATATGATTCATCTAAACATAGTAAGATGATTAAGGTACCGAAAAACATGCAAACGTCTATGCAAAAACAAAAACAATACATCTACACGAGAAAAAAAGAAAAGAAAAATAGTATACATGAGCATGGAAATGGATACAAACTGGAACCACTCTATAAAAATGGGACGGAGTGTGTAGAGTTTTCTTTCCTTAAATGCCAAAATTCACTCTCCGACCAATTTTAATATAGTAGACTATGAACCAACTTTGGAAAAATTGGTCGATCTACCCTAAACTTTACCCTCGTTGTCAATTTTACCCTAATCTTTTTCAATTAGCTTATTTTACCCGTAGCTATCACAACTTTCGTCAATTTGTCCTTTTTGCCAAATTTCTGTCCAAATTAACGGTTTTCACGTTTTTCCGTCAAATGGGCCATTATTTTATTATAAAAAATTAAACTAGACCCTTAAAGAATCAGATTTATTCCTTAATCACTTTTGATTTAAACCTAATTATGTTGGGTCAAAGTGGAGGGAAATTTTTCCCCAAAAAATTTGTGGGCCTCACACGGCCCAAAAAATCCCACTTTATAAAAAGTCAAACCCCTTATTTCACACTGATTTCAACTGGAAATTTTTTTTCCTCTTCTCCACTTTTTTCTCTCTATCATTAATCAACAGAGCATGGCACAATTGTGCAATTGTGGAAGCCCTGCAGCACTTTGCACTTGTTAGAGAGGCAACAACTTGGGCAGATCCTGGGGTGTGCAATTGTTTTGTGTAGCTAGATCTCCAGTCGGTGGTCAGAGAACGGGTGATCATCTAAGGTCTGCTTAGGAGGATAAATAACAGTAGGGACAGGGTGAACATCTTAGAAGCCGAAAATCTAAGATTGTAAAGGCGTGAGCAGCGAATTTGGTTTTATGTTGCTGCTACTGCCATTGTGATGGTGTGTATGTGTTTGATGATGAACTAGGTTCTTCATAGCAATTATCAAGACCAGTGCTTTATTCAAAAAAAAAAAAAAAATCAAGACCAGTACTGTCCTGTATCTTCAGTAGGTTATCTAGGTAGCAATATTTTTCTTTATGTTGGGTGATGATAAGAAGTAAGCACTTGGTTTTCCCTTGTACTCTCTTGTCGTTTTTGAATTCTGGAATGGAAAGCGTTTCCATATACTTTTGAATGCATTTGAATTTGATTGCGTTGGGTTGGGAATATGTTAAAAGGCCAGTTCATGGACAACATTGGCCATATTGGTCAAACATTTAGGACAAAATTGGCCAAAAATATCAAACTGTTGGGTAAAATTAACGAAATTTGTGAAACACGTTAGACAACATTAGCCAAATAATTGGTTAAACCAAGCATCACTTCACATCTTCTAATCTTCACTGTTGGTATAAAATATAAAGAAACCTTAAATAAAGAAGCATTTGAATGCAAGGTGAAAATAGTTTCATATATTAATAATCTTGGCTATCAAGTACATATGAATACCTTACACAGTTCAAGGCATGTTGTGCAACACAAAAAATAAGTGATTTCCAAAGATCATCTGATCAGTGTCTTCTTTGATCAGGCCTTTTTCATTTCACTCATTAAGGCCCACTGATCAGTGTCTTCTTTCTCGATTCTAAGATCACGTCTTAAGAGATCCATAAACCATCCCCAGGATGATGTGTCCTCGACTTCAACCACTGCTCATGCTATTGGATAAATTCCATTGTTGGGATCAACACCGACAGCAGTGAGCAAAACTCCTTTCTGAGGACCCTTCAAGAATGTGTCATCCAATCCAATAAACTTCCTGCAACCAGCTAAAAAGCCATCTCTGACTGTTGAGGGGTGTGTCTAGCCATCCAAGGGTTTAAGAACCACGGAACTTCCAGGGTTACATCGAAGGAGCTCATGAGAGTAACATATTAGCTTATTGAACTGGTCTTCTACACTACCAAACACCAGTTGGAATGCCTTCTTTCTGGCTTTATATGATTGATCCTTGGACATGTCGATGCTGTATCGTTCCTTCACACTCTTTTTGAAGTCCCGAGGCGTTATATTGGGCTTTTCCTTAATGAGCTCTGCTACCCTCAGTGCTATCCAACTACTAGTCATACACGGGTTGTTCTTCACCCAAGTGCAGTTGTGTTTCGGAGCAAACCTGGTAACCCTAATAGTCCCATCCGAACATCTCCCTACATAAATCTTTCAACTGCATTTTCGATCGGGACACTTGGCACTAACCCTTTCTTTTTCAATTTTCTTAAACCTCCACTGAAAACCCCTAATAATGTTCCATGTCCTGATAATATGTGTTGCCTGTTCCAAGCTATTGAAAGCAAGATCACACTTCAAGGGTGGATCCCACATGCCTTTCACTGGATCGAATTCTTGTAGAGCAGGCTCGTCTTCTTCATCAGACTCATGCAATGGTTCAAAATCATCATCAGAATCTGGTATGGCTCTATTCATATCTCTTAGTCGACCACCAACAACTTCATCTTCACTTTCCTCTATATCGCCTCTATGTGTGTGAACTCTATATCCCCAGTTTGAAGACATATCCTTGGACCATGCTGCTGATTTTTCTACTACTTGCAACAAGTGTTTTCTTGATTGTAGGCTTTACCACACTTGCAAGACCTTCACTATAACCATTTTCACCACCCCAGGTTGCTTCACTTTCGTCAACATTCTCTTCATAATCTTGATCATCATATTCTGAATCGTATTCAGAATCCTTATCACTCCAATCTTTGTTATCTTCATCACTCTCATCATCATCACCATCATTATCTGACTCTTCATTCTCACATACATCAGCATTGTTTAACCCCTCAGTGTCACTTATATGACCAGCATTATTCAAGTCATTACCTTCATTGCCCTCGGTACCATGTTCATCTGCAACCTCAACTTCTAAAGTGTACAACTCCATCCATCTATCACCAGCAAGTGCCTCTCAACGCGCTTCCATGAGTTCCCAATCATCCGATACACTCTTCACCACATTATCTTCATTTATATGGAAGAACTTGACTTTATTCGCCAATCCACTTGTTTTTGCCATCATAACCAGGTCTCAAAGTCTAGTTTTTCCAAATCAACATTACCAAAAAAAACTATATTCTCCTCCACAATAAATAGGGGATGGTGTATATATCATTTCACCACCATAATGCATCTGAATGCTTCCATAGGCGTAACAGGATCTGTGGCAAGGTAAGGGATAACAATGAGGACTCTAAACCCTAAAAAAATTAAACTGAAAACTGCATTGTGCACAATAAAAAAACCGCAATCGAGGGACCGAAATTTAACTAGAGAACACATGCATACAATCGGAATTTAGGACCACGAAAATCAAAATCGAGGTTAAGTCCTAAGAAAATTGATTAACAAATAATTACAACCAATTATTTTACAAATTCATCCATCAGTAATGGAACCCACATGTATTATAATAAAAGGACATTCTTTCCCGAATCTCATTTTTGCTGCAGGAACGAAAGAAACAAAATCCCCTTTTCCCCAATCCCCTTTATGCAAATTGACACTTAAAGTCACAATTTTTTAAAAAAATATACTCACCATACTGAGGTGGAGGCTCATTGTTCTTCTCTTTTGACCGTGGATCCAGCATCTCAACCGCCGATATTGCTACAATGCCTCTCCTCTCGCCGACAATTTCTTTTTATCTACTATTTTTTCCGTTTTTTGCTCTGAAAGTCACGAATCTGAGTTTTCGAATTTTTCGGGAATGGAATGTTTTTCACTTTTTTATTTTTGTTCAGAATGGAGGACTTTGTTTCGTCGTTCCAGTCTTCCCTTTTCAAGAAAAGAAAAAAAAATCCAAAATTCCAAAAATTACTTTTGGGAATTTTTTTGGGCCATGTGGGGCTCACAAATTTTTTTGGGGGAAATTTCCCTCCACTTTGATCCAACATAATTAAGGTTTAAGTCAAAAGTGATTAAGGAATAAATCTGATGAAAAGAGCCCAATTTATTTTTTTTATAATAAAATAATAGCCCATTTGACGGAAATATGTGAAAACCGTTAATTTGGACGGAAACTGGGCAAAAAGGACGAATTGACGAAAGTTGTGATAGCTACGGGTAAAATAAGCTAATTGAAAAATATTAGGATAAAATTGACAACGAGGGTAAAACTTAGGGTAGATCAGTCAATTTTTCCAACCAACTTTAGATCCTCAACTTATAAATTGAACTGTCGGACTGCCGTTTACATGAAAAGAGGAAAGATGAAAAGTCAACTCTAGAATCTGTGATCGCCACCAGCCAGTTAAATGTTGCTATCAGTTGGTGCTTAAGATCAGAAATCTGGATCAGGTAATATCGTATATTCCGTATAACATGAGCTTGTCAGGCAATTTGTCATTAAAAAAGAAAAAAAAATGGCCGAGTTACTTTGATCAACAGTGATTGAGATTAATCAGAACTTGGTAGCTAGGCAAATTAAATAGTCACTTTGACTTAAATTAATACCAAGTTAATTTGGTGCTCTTCTCTTTGTTGGGATCATTCTCTCCTCCGTTTGTGAGACTCGAAGACTTGAAAGAGTAAGAAGAAAAGGGGAGAAAAGAAACAATTAAAACAAGCCACTTTTATTTTTACCTGCAACATTTATAGAGCCATGAATATATACAGCACTTACATACCGAGCCGAGGAGCACATAGTGATACTATACAACACTGCACCCCACACACACACACACACACACACAATGCTTACAATAGCGTTGTTATCTTCTTTTAAAGTACAAGAATTGCAGGAGATACTATCAACAGTTAATTTAACAGCTTATCGATCTTTCTATATATTAACAAGGATTTGCTCATACCAAGGCCGATGAACCTTTGCAGAAACTATAGCAGTCACCACCAGCTCTTCCACAGCCTCTACCAGTTTCTCAGTCAGAAGCGAGGCCCCAATTCGTTTGAGAACAGTCTCTGCTAGCTGCTTACCCTTCATTCCGCTCCCACCAAGCACAACTCCTCGAGCGGCCAAGTAAACAGTGCGTGACACGTGCATGAAAATGGGATCTCCTGCTCTCAAGCTCTTCGCTAACATCCTCGCCATCAATTCTTTCCTTGTTTGGCATCTGTCAATATCATCACCACCTTCAGAGAAACAATTCATCGCCTCTATTACATCAGATACTCCAATATCTTCTGAATTATCCAGCAGGTCTGAGAGATCTTTGACGCATTTTGAGACTGTGTTTTCCATTTCTGTTGAGTTGGTCACAAGTTTCTCGCTCAAAAGGGTTTGACGCAGAACCAAGATACTGTAAAGCAGAGGAAAACTTCAGTACAAGAATATATCACCTGTAAATGAACATTTCTTGAAATGTCTGGAAAATAAACTAGAGGATTTCATGCCTCAATGTTGACACAATGTTATTTCCTAACTCTACATTTTAGAAAAAAGAAGGCATGCCAATTATAGTTTGTTTATCAACCCTAAAGCCAAATCAGACATGTGAGCAAATACAGAATATGTTAAAAAGAATCATGGGATTATGCAAGCAGAGAACCGTAACTTTAAATGGAAAGGAAATAGACAAATCAGTCAAACCGTGACAGCAACTACAGCGAAACTAAACAAGAAAGAACAGGGTACGCAAATAAAAGTAACTTTTTTTTTTTTTTTTGAAAAAGGTACCTGTAACTTTTATTAAGTAGAGATACCTAAACTATTACATTGCATTTTACTGTAGTGAATTAATTGAGATTTATGCTTCCCGAAATAGATTGCCAGAGAGTACTTTGGTCCAGTAATTCGAGGCATACCACCAACAAGTATTTCTCACCAGAACTTAATTCAATCAAAGCTCAATGTGTATATCTAAGAGTACTATTTTCTAATCATCATACCGTGCACAAATTTATAGCGATCTGCACGGGTTTCAGAGCAATTTCATACATCTTTCACAGACCAATTTATATTGCTTTAGCCGTTCTTGGCCAGGATAAGGCTAAACAGATAAGAGAATGAAAAAACGGCCACAGTGCCAACGAAACTGCAGTGCGATCCCCGCACTCATCATCTATTGTAAAGCAACAAGAGCGCAATGCATGATCCGGAAAAGGGTATACAAAATCATTCAAGAGAAGTAGAAAGATAAGAACCAATCCACCAACCTGCTGCTGATGACAATTATTTTCTGAAGCTGAGACTGGACATCCCTCAATCTAAGTAAATTCAGTTTAAGAGTCTCTGGTAGCTTTTCAACTGTCAACCCATCAACTTCACTCACAAGCCTTAGCAAACCAAGCCTCAGGAGAAGATCAACTTTCTCCCCCTTGCATTCCAGTTCTTCAGATCCTGCAAACATCACGTAAATCTGGTATGGCATATTTCACAACCAAGGCTACAATGTGAAAAGAAAAAAAGGAGTGGAAGTCAAACCTGTTGGCAGGCTACCAACTTTTACTTCCTTCAAGATGCTACCACCAGTGCGAAGAGTGGAAGGCGAAGGACCAGGCAAAGACAGATTTGAAATAGCATCAAGATACTCCCTCCATTCCTTCTCATAATCCTCCACCATAGAAGAAAACCATTGCATCACCAACGGTAAAGAGGCAGCAGCATCAGTAGGATCTCCAAAGCGGTTCGCAAAAGAACTTTTCAAATATTCCAAACCAGCTGGTCCCTTTATAACAGGCTCCAAAATAGCAATGCGTGCTTTACTTACATCGTGCTTGAGCTTCTGTTTAAAATATATAGAGTAAGAAAATTTATCAGCAAAAAAGAGTTCTACATCGGTTGCTGGACAGCTTAAATTAACTAGAAACAAATGGTCAACTAGTAAGTACCTAAAGTCACAAATGGATATCAAGACCACATTGTGAGGAATGAGAACAACAAACATTATCATGCAAAAGACAGGATTTCACCAATTATATACAGCCTAGGTGCTTTAGATTATTATATATGCCCATTTGCGTGGTTCTCTATTGTCCACCATATTTTCTGTATCTACTATTTTGTGTGTCACACCAATCAGGAATGGAAAATCCATATTAACAAAAATGCAGGTTAAACAGTTCAACTAGTGTTATAAATTTCCCATTGTTAGGCAAGTCATAAAACCAAAATAGAGGGATCCTAACCCTCGGGGGTCTTATTCAGTGTTCTGTGCTAGGAAGCATATATACTGGTTTGGTTTCGATCTTAAACACCAACTAATTAGGTTACTAGCAGCATTAAGTTAACTTTAAGAATGTAAAAATAGTTCTCATATGATACATGCTGCTACTAGGTACTCCTCCATTCCAAACAGATGTATCAGAAAGAAATAGGAAACAAACCTGAATCTGCTGCAAAACAAGTTGTAAACCCTTAATTATCAAACGTGCAAACACGGTATCAAAATCTGTTGCTTGAGAAATTTCATTCAACTCTTCTAGTAACTTCTGATGTGTGGACTTCAACTCTGCTTCATTTGCAGGAGCAGAAAGTCTTTGCAATGTAACCATTGCAAAGCCCAATATTCTTTTCAGATAATCCATGTAAACCACACCTGATTTAAGCACCTATAACTCAAAGGAGGGGGGAATCAGAAAGAGAAATGTGACATTTAACAGAGACAGTCTGAATCCAATCGATGGTTATGAAGCAGATATACCTGTGATAGAATATCAATATCAATCATTCCAACAATTTCGTCACTCCAACTTGAAGGTGACAAGGCACACAGTTCATCTCGAACCTCCTTCATGAGTTTAAGGACCCAGCTATAGTCAGGCTCCTTCTGCTGTATACTTTCTAAAACACCATCCCAGAATGCTTGTTCCATCGCGTCTCGAATAAGTTTCTACAGAAACATAAGTAACTTAACCACATAAATAAGAGTGTTGCGTTATCTGGTAGATATGGAAAACCCTTGAGTCCAATGAAACAACTTAAATTGCCAAGTCAAAAAGGGGTGGGGAGATTGGAAATTTCCATACAAAGCAAGAAAAATGAGTATAGATAGACTAGTGAGAAAAACCTTCACATTTTCTTTGTCCTCAGAAGTGATACTGTAACCATCAAACAAGCTTCTTTTATGTCCATGAACAATTTCATTCACAAGCACTTCATTGTCTGCTACAGCAGCTGCGCCCTGAGGCACATGATTTTCTATAACCTGCCCATTCAGTGCACTTAAAAACTCATCTACGGATGACTTCTGGAATCCAGGACGGACTTCTGTAGCAGCTTCCCTTGGATCACTGATTGTTGCACCCTCAGACGAATAAACTGAAACTAAAGCTGCAACAATAAAACAAGATGTCAGTGACTGTCTAGCAAGTCAAGACCCAAGAGATGAACCCCTCCCTAAAACTTTGCAATAAAAATACTAAGTGAACATTTAAACATTACCATCCAACTGCTGCACATTTTCTGCAACAAACTTATCATTTTCAATCACCTAATGATCCAAGTTTGAAAACGATGTCAGGCAAACGAAATAGAGAATAAAACAAGGAAAAACTATTTGATGCTTCTGGAGGCGAGATGGTACCTTGTCACAGTTGACCATTATGCGGCCCTCAGGGTAACCACTATCCTCTGTAGCTTGCTGCTGACTCTGCATAATGTTATGCTCTAGCTGGCGGGCAGCTCTAACCAAATCCTCTTCCAACAACTTAGCATCATGAACCTTCCAGGCGACAAAGGATTTCAGATAAATGCACCAAGCTTTATCGAACTTCTCCAACAGAGAATAAAAGGAAAGACGGCTTCCAGGAGAAGACATCTCCTCAAGTGAAGACACACGTGGCCCCTGTAGTAGATTTCTGATTAACAATTCGAACTCTTCCACGAAGGACTTAGCAGATTTAGCAAGAGGAATTTCATATTCCCCCCTTCCACTGAAAACTGCATCCGGATGCCCCAATATCATGTACGCACAAAAAACAACTCTAACTGGGTACCTAGATAATTTCACCTGGCTTCTGATTATGTTTCTAGAGCCTGTCTTTTCAGTCCTTCTAACATTTATTTTACCAGGGGATATGACATGTTTAAGCAGATGATCTATCCTTTCCATTCTAAACTGATTATCAGCATGGTCAACCTCTTGTTTAATTTTGATACGCAACTCAAGACGATCAAGAAAAGCTTTAGCAGTTCTGATAGTAGCACTAGACTCAATTTTTGAGGCAAGTTGCTCAAACATCATCGACTTGACAGCCTTCTCATTGATTTCCAGGGCGGCATACGCTTTTGCTAAACAGAGTGTAGTTCCTTTGTCCCTCACAAACTGTCTCCAACACCTGTATGAAGACAAAATCATTTACCAACATAAGTTACGCAAAAAAAAAAAAAAAAAAAAAGAGGAAATCAAACCAATGAGGATATGCTATTAGACATCAAACAAAGATCGGTTCCGTTCAAGTTAAACTATGAGACTAGCCTACAGCGGACAAAAGAATGGTACAAAACACATCAGCTGACCTCAAGAAAATCAAACTAGTTTTGAAATGAAAAATGTAGATACAAAAGCACCAATAGTTTCATAGGGAGAAGTAATCCTATGATCTGCTCAAAAAATGGAATCACAGAGAACACAGGTATTACATCAGCACACACAAAATGTACAGAAATCGCATTTCAAGTCCTCTGACCGGCCTTACTGGAAACTTCTACATAAAACAGAAAAAGAAAATACAACAGCTGCAAATTTTGGATAACCAAATAAAACGACGGTATCAGACTTAACCCAAACATATAGAGAGTGAATGAAAGGATCTCCATAACCTAATTAAGCAGTAGCTAAACTGTTCAACGTATATCATACAACATGTTTACGAAGAATATCAAACCTTTTAAGCATCATAAAACAACCTCATCCATCTTATTTTTCCCCAAGAAAATGTAAATAAAATGCATGAACAATTCGTTATCTAACTGTGTAACTGCACAAGTCTATATCAACCCGCATCAGGTTTAAATTTCGACTATGTTCCAATTAAAGGTCCACATTATTTGACATTTACTGCAGTGTAAAGTTGATAGCCGCATTGCACAAGAAGTTTGTGGGCCATAGTTCAACTTGAAACAAGAGGTGAAAATCTGTATGTTAGTGAACTTCTAGCAGAAAAGTTTCTTTACCTGGCGAGCTTCTTTGCCAGAAGAGCAGGGTCAACCAGTCCAGAAGGGGAGTTAGCTGAACAGCGTAATTTCGCTCTCCTACTAAGAAGTTCCATCCGGAGCCTCTTAGCCTAGTGATCAACCAGAACAGCATGAGTGACAGAAAATTTTATGTTAAATTATAAATCAAAATGTACGTAATCAAACTTACCCTGAGAAGTTTAGCTTCCAGTTGTTTCTTACGCACCCCACTCTCAATCATTTGCTTATTTTTCACAGCAAAAGCTTTACAATGAGCTTGCAATACAACTTCTCGCGCCCTAGATTTTTGTGCCTCCAACACCCCCAAACGTTTCTTTTCAGCAGCAGCACGTTTACAGCGGATCCTAGCCCACACAAGCTCCTTATATTTTTTCTCCTGAATTGTCCTTTTCATTAACGATTGAACGATTCTCTCTTTTTCCGCCATCTTCCTCTGCTTACGTGCTCTTAGAAGGAGCATGCGGTTTGCTTCGGCTTTCTGCACCCGTGACACAATTTTTACACCCAAAGCCTCCCTTTCTTTGTCCAAACGCAGTTCCAATCCATTTTTAGCAGCTTGTCGCAGTTCATTAATTCTGGACAACCGCTTCCGAATACTTGCGAGGATGCTCAATCTGCTTATTTCCCACGTAAAGCAAAACATTGCAACACTTAGATACACTCATCATCATCTAAAACAATAATAATGAAATCAACAATCAAATTAAAATCTACCAATACATTTGAGGGAATATAAAGTACCAAGAACAACTAAACTAATCAGGTCCAACATATAAGAATTATGATAACAATAAATAAAAAAAAGGGAAACTAAATTTTATCTCTCGAAAGAAGTAAATGCACGGAGAAACCAAGAGATAAAGAAGCTTAATATCAAAAATTTTAAAAGAAAAAAGCAAAAACTGAAAAAAACTTGTATTTTAATAAAAAGTAAGATAAAACAAGATTACTAATGTAATTTTCAGAAGAGCAAAACTCTCTCAGTACCCATTCCGATTGGGGCCATTTCTTTCTAACTTTTTCTCAAGAACCATGTAGAATACATTTTGCCATTACTCCAAAACAACTACAGTTTTCCCATGAGTAATACTGCCATCACCGACCATGTTTGGATTATAACATGACAAAAAATATGCAATGACAATAAAAGTAAGATAAAAAGTATTTCCTACAACATGTTTCCAGATAGCAGACTATGGACTTCTAAAATTGGTGATGGAAATTCAAAGCAAAAATCTTTAGTATTCTGCTAACCCATTATTTTTCAAACATTGTAAGCAAACACCGGCAAAAGCTATAACTAGAAAATAAGTAAAGACCATATTTACATCTTTTCTATATGCTGTCAAAATTTTATCCTCCTTTCCTAGAATACGAAATGCCTTAACTTTAATCAACAACATATGCGAACTTAACAAAAAAGTTGTCGATATACCAATATGTTCACTGATACAAATACTGTAACTTCACAAAAAGTTAATTGGCAAGGACTTACCTCTTTTGTTTGGCTGCGTAAAGCTTAGCTTCCAGTCGCTGGCCAAGACCTTCCTCTTGCAAAGTTGACCATCCTGAAGATCTAGATTTTGGACGTGCTCTGCTCACTAATAATTCATAGAATTGCTGCATGCCAATTAAAGTAATCGCATTCAAAAAGTGCACGGACACATGAACAAGTAGTACATCCAAAGATCCATGTGAAAGCTTACAAACTTTTAACTACCTCATAAATTTTCCTAACACAAGAGTAATTCTAGGTAAAATCTCAGACAAAAACAAACATTGTCACAGTAAAAGTAAACAGTCTAGGATCGAAAAAGCAGGTGTTCATCATTAGAAAAACCATACAAATTCAGATATCGAGAGGGGGTTCCTGAATGACCAATTTGTGATGGGGTCTTTCATCTCCATTTTTAGCTATTACTTATCTCTAAAGCAAACTAAAACCAACCCGCAAAATCAAATAAGAAATGCTCAAGCCCAAACATTTAGACTTTTCAGTAATGCTTCCACAAAAGTTCGAATACCTCACCCTAAAACCTTTGCACAAAATATCTCCGTTCATATACAATGAAGCTATCAATCAAAGACTCTATTGGTGGCTTTGTTTCCTCTCCTTGCCGCAGCCCCCAATTCTTTAATCAAAGATTGTCATAGTCATCAATGTCCTGACATGCAGAGCTAGTTAACTATCATATGCCGTGATATTAACTATCATATAGCATACTCAGAAAACCCCATCAAGATGTCCTTTTTATCATGCTAAACTACGATTTGAGCTTAAGGGGGTTCTCATCAACAGAACAAAACATAACAATAAACAACTTCCATATTTAACTAACTTAAACAATTACAAACCTCTCGCCGGAGCTGCGCGTGCCTGAGCTTGTTTTCAATGTCTTCTGCGGTGGTTGACGGAGAACTGCTTTTCGGCTCGAGAAGTCGACGACGAAGCCTCGGAGGGAGCTTTGGAGAGGAATGCAGTGGCTGAGACGACGCCGTCGTATTGCTGTCTTCGCCGTCGTTGTCGTCGTTGGCCGGGAAATATAAAAACGCCGTTGTTGCAGAAGGGGCGTATGCCGAATCGTGATTCGAATTGGCATGATCCATAATGCACGAATTGAATTCCAAAATTAACTCAAATTATTTATAAAGATTATCAAAAATTGGTAATTATTGTTGCAAAGGTTTATGGAGATTTATCTGGGATTTAATTATTTTTTAGATTGGAATTTGAACTCAATTTTGGAAATGGAGGATTACATACTCCTCTTTGATATGGTTAATCAAACGGTTATAGGTTCTAGAAGTTTCTGAATTTCTTCCAACTTCCAAGTCCTTCTTTCCATTTCTGGAATGATTAATTTTGTTCATCAGTCCTCAATTTTGGATGTATGATGCTTTGAGCCCCGACAAGTTCAATTGGAACCTTTTTTTATAAGAAAAGCTGAGAACAAGGAGGAGTTGCAGTATATAAAGATAACCTAACATAAAATTACATTAAGCTGCTTCCCTTTAGTTGACATAAGCACTCTATGCTCCCCTGAGTAGTTAGCAAAATGGTCGTAGACTCGTAGTCTCCATCACTTTTTTATCAATTCTCTCATAGAGGACAATCAACAACCATCTGTTTGATTTCGTTGCATACTGCATGCCTCAGATGTTCTAGCCATGAGACAACTCTGATAATAACTATTCGTTGCGAAATGGCCGCTTTTCTTCCCACCAAACTGGTGATTCCTGTACACTTTCCTCTTGCTTTGATGTGCTCCTTAAAGCATATGTGCGCAGATTGGATGCTGGTGTCGAGATAGTGGAGAAGAATGTCTATGCAACAGGAATTTTGGGCTCGCCTAGATTAACAAAAGCTTGAGCTCGAGCCATGCGTGCCATTACTGCATCCCAGGAAACCAGGTGATCCATGAATACATTTACATACTTGGCTCTGTCATTCTGCGGGAAATAGGATGAGAAAAGATGAAGCTCCAGTCATATGGTCCTGGGTCAAAAGAACCGGACACTAAGGAATGAAATTACCTTGTAGTCCAGATAATAAGCATGCTGCAAATCGAAGAAGACAAATAAGTTAGTGTTAATTCCAGACTAATGGTGTACAAAGTGTGCTCACATGCATGTGCATGAGAAATCATACAGATAATTCAGCAATCTTACCTCCCATACGTCTAAATTGAGGAGGGGCTGCACGGAAGAGAGAAACATAGCTATCAGGTCAATAGCAATAATGCTGGCTGCATAACAATTAAAAACATACAGTCACCGAAAACCCTTACAATGTCATTCCACACGAGAGGGTTGACTGCATTGGCCGTCTTGACAATTGCCAAACGTTTTTCTTCTCTTTTCACTAGACATCCACCAGAAGAAAGATTAGAACACCAGAAAAGACCATTGAGAGAGGAACACAATGAAATACAGAAGTTCCAGTACATGATCAATTGCGGAGGAAATTAAAAAAAAAACCATGGCTGTAGGTAAGTGCTGGACAACAAATGTTTTACATGATAAAATTCTAAAAAACCAGGGGCACACCTTCAGTAATTACCACTTTCCTCTCAAAGGAATCCTTTCAATTCCAATAAACTTAGAGAAACCAATGAGATTTAATTATTTTATAACTCAGATTTGATATGCTAATACAGGATCTTTGGTATACTTAGACCAAAGCAATGAGATCTGGGTGTTCATCCAAGCAGGAAACTGCTACTTAGAGACACCAGTCCTTATTTTTCTCTTGAAAATGAACAAATATTCTTTCAAAAAATTAAAAGAGGATAAATCCTAGTTATGTCATTCCAAGGTCAAAGAATCATGAACAACCAAGTTTCCTAAATTTTGTTGTTCTCATATTTTTTGCTCATCACTTCCTTGTAAGGATATAAAAGAACTTCAATTCATGATTTAGTACCAGGTAGAGGAGTCTCCAATATATACTAATCTAAGGAGATCCAAGATTGCCCTTACAAAGAACCTTTTCCAGTACTAATAAAATCTCATAGAAAAGGGTGCAATAAAGCAAAATGTGCATCTTTCTGCCCTTTGCTGCATCTATTTCATTTTCTTGCTACCTTTTTAGTTGTTCACCTCTTTCTCAACTTGATAAATCTGTTCATCTCCTAATATCAAAACAAATATAAGAAATACGTGCCCTTAATTGAGCTATCAAGAAACTCGTTCCTAAGAATTTAAGATTTAGCATTGATCTTTGACTGTTTTGTTTCTAGAAACGCATAAGCAATGACACCTTAATAAGAACACAAACAAACTAATAATGTACTCACTTAAGCGCGATAATGCTAAACAAAATGCATCAGTTGATTTGGATGTTATTTGCCCCAAAAAAAGGTACAGATTGAACTGATTCTTCAACAACATGTACGAAACCTATAAAAGCTTCCCAGTGGTCATGCGCCTAGAGAAAAAGTTGTTATAAATACCAGTTGCTTTCGAGTATATTCAAGAAGTCTTACCAACTAGCCAAACCCAACCAGAGCCAAATAATTTGATGGCTGCATCGATGAACTTTTCTCTGAAATTGGTAAATGAACCAAAATCCTTTTCAATCTGCTGAAGTAGACCCATTATCGGGAATTTACCTCCACCTGGTTGCATGGATTCCCAGAAGAAATCATGGTTCCAGACCTTCAGAGAATGGATGAAAAAAGGTGTCAGATTAGATAATATTAATCAGTATTCCTGGAGGCCATGAAATTTGACCTGTGTATTATTCAAAGTAAGGACATTAAAATTCATCTTTAAAGTCTATGTATGTCGGCTTGAGCAAGGAAAACTGCAGAGAGAAATGTGGGACTGCATCAGAAGGAATAAGATGTTCCTATCCAATTTGGGGGATTCAGCTCAGGAGATAAGGATATGGGAACGTCCACATCTGAACAAGGTCTAATATAATGGGGGAGATGTTAAAAGTTCTCATTACGAACTGGCCTCAAGAAAAAGAGCTACTTCACTGTAGATGATCGGTACCTGGAACAGCTAAGGAGAAAGATAAAACATGAAAACTGATTCAAACAGCCAATGAGCCCTTATTTTTATTCTTCGCCTTGGTTATATAAGGCATTAGTTCATCAGTCATCTACCAGTATTTAGTTCAGTAAGATAATTTAGGCTCAAAGTGAGAATTAGAGTTTAGATTAATATATCCAAACTTTGCCAGGGCTTTTAAATGTCAAGGGTCCTTAAAACTTGTCACTGAAATTTCTAGTGTGGCGTAAATGAGCATTGCCATTAGATATGCATACTTAATCAGTTAATCCAGGCAACCAGAACTGATATGAAATCACTAATTATTCCTGACAGCATGTGAGGTAGAACTACTGCATTCTTAGGCACATTAAATGTCCAAAATAGAACTTGCCCAACGAGGAATATGACTTTCACTATATCAGTGCTATGTTAGCATACCTAAACCACACCCCACTGAGGGTAGGGGGTTGGAGAGTTGCCACCAAAAGGAAAGGTTCAACAATTCAGAAGCATAAACTGAATATTTAAAAAGAAAATTAAAAAAAATTTTAAAAAATCCATCACTACCTGGGCAGCATTGTTGAATTCGGGTAATGGGTTTCCATTATTGTAAGTAACTTTAATAAGTTCATCCAATGTACAACCATATAATTTATCGTCCTTCTCAAGCTGCTTGTTCAAAGAATCCACATAGTTACGATGATGATATCCCCAATGCGTTTCAATTGTCCGTCGGCTCATATGTGGTTCAAGAGCATCCTACCGGGAAGGCAAAAAGGAACAAATAAAATGTTTACAATAATGATACTAACCGAGGGATGCATATAACTTCCCTCTCAAATAAATTTTAAGGAAAATAAAACTCACAAGCTTGTAAGGTGGGCTTCTAAGACCATAATAAGCACAGACGTTTAATCTCTTTTGACCTTTTTGCAAGTAAGTTCTCCGCTTATCCTGCATGAATCACAACACAACCAACTGACAAGTTTATCTCGAAATAACCAATCGAGGAACCACGACCAATTTTTGAAAATAATAGATTTGAACATGGAAGCCTTAGCCACTGCTCCCTACCAATCCTAATAAAGCTGAAGTTAAAACAAGTTACCGCAAATAGATAAGAGTATATCTGCTTTCTCATAGTTACAGAATCCTTCTACTTCCACAAACTTCAGCAAATTTATAAAGGTTTAAAACATTCTACTCATCTTAATTTTCAGCTTTGCTTCACAACTTTTAGAGAGCCTAAAGAAAAATGGAAAAAATGTACCACAAACTGGCATTTGTTGTGTCTACTGAATGGACTGGAAGGATCAAGAGCAGTTGCGAGAATGTCAGTACTTGAGCTGGAAAACCTCACGGCACAAACACTAAAGCTCATTTCTGCAGAGCTCAACAAAGCTTCACTGCAAGAAGAACACAAACAGAAACACACAAAGATTGAGAAGCCAACCCAATACATTCATAAACAAAACAAATCTACATAAGCAAACAAAAACCCTTAATACTCACTAGCTCTAAGTTAACATTCTTTTTTCATCCAGCTAAGCATTTTAACAAACAGTTGCAATGCAAGAGAATAACGCGTACACTGGTTCAGGGGAGGATGTAGTTTAGAGGCCCGGAGTAGCTCGAGCACAACCGGCGGCGGAAAGTTGATTGTTTTCAGCTATAGTGTTAGATGCTCCGAGCACTTTCAAAATTCCTATGGTAGCAGTAGAATCGAAAATGAGTTGGTTTGAATAAATTTGGTTAGTTCTGGTGAAACTTGGCGGTGGCCGATTAACGAAGAAGAAGGTGAAGATTGAGTTTCAAAGTTTATAATTTACACAACAAACCCCTTATTTAAACTTATTTACATAAATCCTACGCTTGCCAGAAGTTTTTAAAGCAACCCCCATTGATTAATAATTGAAATACTAATGAGCAATGTGAATCTAATAATTAAAAGTTTGGAGTAGAATAGAAGTGAACTTATAAAAATATTTATTTACATGTTTATTTTCACCGTATTGATCATATCTTTTTATCCATCTCCATCCGGGGGCGGATTGGTAATGGGGATACTGAGGTGACGTGCCAAATCAGAAAATTAAACATATTTTATAGAATTTTAAATTTTTATCCCCTTACCTTTTTTCATTCATCCTTTTAGAAATACTACATTTTTTTATGTCGCATAAATATTTTTGATTTTATATTATTATGTGTTAATCTCATTGCTTAAAATATCAATATTAAAACACTTAACTATTTGGTCATGACATCAATCTTAACTTCTGTACGAATGTATACACATAAAAGGGTTAGTGTATTTATTTTGTCCAGTTTTTGTGTAAAAATAGAAATACACACCATCTCTATCCCATTTGTATAATTATTTAGTTGTTTATTTTCAATATGAACAAAATGTAGTATCACATATGCCGAACAAATTATAATAAAGTTGCATTCTTTTTATCTCAAAACTGGAAAATGTCATTTTTATTTTAAACTGCGAACAAAATGCAAAATTGTGGTAGAGTTTTGATGACTATGAAGCTTTTGTTTTAAGCTTTATCAATAAAAAGTTTCTATGAGTTGCAGTTGAAAGAAATAATATATATTAAAATGAAATGTGTTGTGCTTCCTTGAGTAGGTCATCTAACAAATTAATTAATCTCTATAAATTTCAATATGGACCTAATCTATCTTAGTGTTTCACGGCAAGATTAAACAAAAGTTTAACAAATTTTAATTTATTAATTTAGTTTTTTTTTTCGGGAAAATCGATAGATTTTATTTATTAAGTAGAGTTACATGAAATATGATTACATAACACAACAAGGTTGTGGGTTGGTCTCACCTCATCCCTCACTACTTAAAGAATACGACAAGCTTCTATATCCGTTGCAACATCCTTAATATCCTTTATTAGCGATTTGTACCATGGTTAGGCCTTTTCACGACCCATTATACAGTGGAGTGCCCTAAGACAATTTGTTCTTATGGATAGAAACCTCCATCCAAACCAACATGCATGTTTCAGAGCATGATAGATAGCCAACAACTTTACCTGTAACGGGTCCAATGCCCAACATCTCCTTGATTGCTCTCTAAAAGTTCTTCCCCGTGCATCCTTAGCCACCACTGCCCAGGCTCCTCTCCCGTCAGTACAGCTGAAGGACCCATCCACGACCACATTGATCAAATGTTCTGCTACCATGGGATCCTACAAGATCGCCCGCGAATTCCTTCAAGCACACACTCATACCCACATCATCCACCCCCCATCACTCCACTCGACCCTCCATGTGCAACCCTTTCCACTGTCCCCTACTCCTTTCACCCCCTAGTTTCCATCGCCTTCCTAAAGGCTGCAATAGAGTTGAAAACCTCCTGCAGCTCCCGTGCATGATCCCACCCTTCTCCATCCCAAATGCACCTATTCCTTTCCACCCAAATATTCAAGATAATGAAATAGGACACAACCAAACAGTATGAGGAGCTCTTAGCACCCACTCCTGGAACTAAGTCCTAAAGGATAAGTTTGATACTCTTGCAAAATCAAACCCAAATTGCAACATTCGCCAGGCTGCCTGCGACCATATACATCATAGTGAGATGATTAATAGATTCCAGCTTCTCCCACATCTTGGGCATAAAGGTGGCACCCTACCTCCCTTTTTCTATAACTCGAGTGCAACTGGGCAGGCCGCATTCATCATTCTCCATAAATAGAAAGTTATTTTCCTCAGAAGCTGTAACCCCCCACACGTTCTTTCAAAAAAACCCTTCAGTCGGTCCCTCTCCCAGGCCTTGTGAAGACATTGATGGAGTGTCTTCTTCCTCAAATCTAACAGCCAGATGATATGCATATTTAACCGAATATTCCCACTAGGCTCCATGTCCCAATAAGAAACATCATTTTCCTCTTCACGCCCTTTCCTAATATGCACTGCAAGGATATTCTTAGCTGCCTGTGGAGGAAACAACAAGTTTACCTGAGATTTTTTTCATTTTCTATCCTCTCCAATAAGGTCCCCAACAACCCTTCTTATCAACCCATTCCTTCTCACCGATGTTGTCAATTGATTCACCATCTTTGGGATCCATTCTGCTTCCATCGGTTTAGATTTCCCATTACCCATCCTCCATTTCATCCCTCTACTTACTACATCCCTAGCCTGCAAGATGCCTCTCTAAACCCATGTTGCCTCCTTCCCGAGCTTCACCTTCCAGAAACTCTCCTCTGTGCAATATCTTGCCCTATAAAACCTTGTGAATAAAGAGGAATCGTCCGTTCCTACCTTTCATGCTAACTTCCCAAGTAAGGCCCTAATCATATGATTTGTCTTTCTCATACCCAGCCCACCCTTCCACTTTGAGTTGCATACATCTCTCCAAGCCTTCCAGTGAATTCCCTTACCTTTAACATCTCCTTTCCAGTTGAATCTTGCTAGAAATTGATCAACTTTCTTTGCGACCGAGGCAGGTAGCCGAAAGCTCCCATAACATACTGTGACATAGAGCTCAGTACATGTTTCGACAATAATACCCTCCGCGGAACCGATACATCCTGCCCTCACTAGCCCTTAATCTTCCTCCTAATCTTATCCAACAACTCTCCAAACAACTGGCCTTTAGGCTTAGAGAAATCCAAATTTATTCCTAAGTATTTATCCAAAAGCAGATCCTTGTTTACATTAAACACGATTTTCATATATGTTATCATATCTGTTTATGTATTTGAGCTAAATAGTACTGAAGATTTTATACAATTTATCTTTTGTCCTGCATACCTTGAAAATACGTTGAGGACCCTAGCCATATTCCTCGTCGCTTCGATTGTATTCTGCATGAATATAATGCGATCATCCGCAAAGATGAGATGCGAGACTCTCGGCACCCTCTGGAAATACGAACTCCTTCTCCCAAAGCCCCAAAGTTGTTACTGTTGACAGAAAATAAACAAAAAAAAAAAAAAGGAGAGAGCTGGCAGCCCTGCCTCAAACCCTCATAGGGCAAAAATTCCTCTGAAACCCACCCATTGAAACAAGCCACCATTTTGACCGTTGACACACATTGCATCACCCATTCCTGGCACTTCTCCAGAAAATTCATCTTCTCCATTACTTTATCAAGAAAATACCACGAAACTCTATCATATGCCTTACTCACATCCAATTTCAGTGCCAAGAAACTCCTTATCCCATCCTTTTTCTTTCTTATAACTCAAACAATTCATGAGCAATTAGGACATTTTCCATGATAAGGCTCCCTAGGGCATACGCTGCCTGATTTTCTGCAATGACCTTAATAATCACTCCCTTCAACCTATTAGCCAACACCTTAGCCACAATCTTATACGTTACATTAAACAGACCAATATGCCAAAAGTCACTCGACTCCAAGAGGTGTGGCTTCTTAGGGATAAAAACCAAAAGTGTTTGATTCCACTCTTGCAGCATCCTTCCCTGGGTGAAAAAATATTTGACTGCCGCTATTACCCTGTCTCCCACTATGCCCCAATATTCTTGATAAAAAAAACTAGTCGAAACACCATCCAAGCCAAGCGCTTTCCACTTCCCGATCTGGAAAACCGTCTTTCTAATCTCTTCATCTGAGACATCACTCACTAGTTCTGCCGCGTCTCTTGTTCAGCATTTACAAAACCTCCTCCATGGTAGGCAGACTATCCTCCTCCTCCCTTCGACAATACATCACGAATCTCTTGTTGGCTTGCCGTCCACTCCCCATCTTCCCTCTTTAGTTGTGCTATATTATTACTGTCCTTCCTCTTCTGAATTCACCAATGAAAGCATTCCGTATTACCCTCCCTCTCGAGGATTCAATTCACCTTTGCCCTTTGACTCCAAAAATCATTTTGTTCTTCTACCAAATCCTCTAATCTTACCTTTAGTTCACTATTGTCTTCTCCTCTTGCCCGGGCCTCCCCATTCTCTACCACAACCTCCTTATTCGCCACTCCACAGCCTCTAAAGAATTTTTGTGAGTGCACAATTGTTACCATTAAAGACCGAGATAATCTTTTCATAATATTTATCCTATAATCCTCCCCCTTTCACCAAACATCCAACTCCTCTCCACTATTTGTTTGGGTGCTTCATATCATGTACAAATTCGTTCAAACCGACGTAACTTTTGTCCTACTTCCTTCGCGGCATCAAGTCTACCATAACGGGCCCATGGTCCAAAAAAAAACAGCAAATTCTCAACCACCGCCGTTGGCAACCATTCCCACCACTCCAAATCCGCAAAAGCCCTATCTAACCTTTCCTTAATCTCCCTGGATGCCTCTTTTCCATTTCTCCATGTATACCATATCCCTCTACTACCTACCTCCTCTATACCCAACCTGTCTAACAACTGTTTCAGCCTCCCCTTCCCTTGCCCCTAATGCCATCTCCCCCCTTTTTTATCCTCCACTCCTATAATTCGTGAAGTCCCCTACTAATAATTTTGGCCTATCATACAGCCGTAGCCAACTCTTGATACTCTCCCATACTTCACATCTCTTTCCTGTTTGAGGATGCCCATACACAAAACTCACCATATACATAGACCCATTCGCTTGGGTTATATTTAATAAAACAAAATTTGAGGATTTACACACCACTTCAGCTATTACACTGGATGCCCAGAATACCACCCCTAAGGCTTAGAGGTTCTACAAAATTCTAGTGTTCAAAATATGTGAAACGCAGCCGCTGACAAATCCTACTACTATTACATTTTATTTCCAACAGTTATATTATACTAGGTTTATATAAACTACATAACTTTGATAGATTATGAACTGCAGAAGGTTGAGCCAACCCCCTACAGTTCCAACAAAAGATCCTCATGTCGTCTGTGGTGGTTGTTTTGGGACAACCACCTCAACCCCTGCGAACTGCTTAAGAAATTCAGAATGGTGTGGATTACCTCTGTAGAAATGAGCACTCTAATGGATTCTTCTTCTTGGTTGTCCTCCACCTCCTCTAAGGTAGTAGCAGGCCCCATTTCTTTCTCTGCTACCCTTTCCCCACCCTGTACATTTTGATCAATCGCATCCAATCTCTTCCTCCTTTTCTCCCTCCTCTTCACTTCCCCTCTCTTCCTCCTCCACCCTTTTCCACTTCCTGCCTTTTGCAGCACCCCCGCCCCCCGTGTTTCCACCAATCCCAGACGCCGTCTGCGCCCTCTGCCCCTTCAAAACCCTTGTTCAACTCGATCCAACACATCTCATATTTCAATCCCTTCCCCCACCCCTCCCACCCAACATCCGATAAGAAAACCATGCAGGCGACCTAGCATAAACCTCTCTACATCTCTCCGCTGACGGCTCTTACAACGCCCTTATCGGTCGGCTCTTATCCCGTTCCTTGAATCTTCCCCTCTCAGTTTTCCCATCCGAACATATCTCCTCATCCTTCTTTGTTTTCTCCTTGAACCTCATATTTATCCCATGGAGGTCCTACTCGTACACCTTCAGCACATCTTGTACACTCTTTCATAAGAGCATTCCACCCACACCATTCCCCCTCCAAATAGCCATAAATAGAACCCGATGACTAGCGGCTATGAAAGTCTGATCCACACTCTTGCTCTTAAACAAAAAGACCTCCATGCATTCTCCCCCTCCGCTCGAAACTCCTCAACCTCACCTACCATCGACACTAACCTGTGTGTAGCCTCATAGTGATATTACTCTAGAGGTATTCCTGAGAAGCGAACCCATACCAGTATGTGGGTGATATGCATCCTCGTGAATATCATTTCCAGCTTCCACCTACGCACTACTAGTAGAGCTTCGTCTATCACATAAAGGCCATTGTGTAGAACTGCCAGCAGGAGATGTCTCGATGGAAATTGGAAAATGTAATACCTTCAGTCCTGTCTAGAAACTCTTATATCCTCTCTCCAACATTCTTGGACATAATCTTGCATCCGAGTGATACTCAGAGACCTATAGTCGATCAAGTAACCAATCAAGCTGTAGCTATACCATTCCTCCCACCTCTCCATATTGTGGGCTTCCATTTCAAGGATCACTCTCTGATTGGTAAATATACATCCCTCGAAAACTTTGCCCCCACAGTAGCATCCCGCTTTCTTCCGAAAAAGGTAACCCTCGTGGGAAATTTGTATATCAGACCGCTAGTCCTCCTGCAACCCAGGGTCCATATCCATATAGTACCTTTAGATGTCTCTCGGATAAAGACTTGCAGGACCACTGTAATACCCTTTTAAGGACTGAGAAAATTATGTAGAAAATTTTTCTTTTTTTTGGGAAAGAAAGAGACTGTCTAGGGATGAAGACTATATTGGACAAAGGATAAAAGACGAAGAAAAAACTCCAGTTTACAGTGAGTTAACATACAAGGAATAGTAAAAACCGGTAGGTCGATGCCATTGTAAGACACTTTTCGTACTATTTTCAAAGCTCCCTAACAAGTTAGAGAGAGAGAGGCTCTCACTTAGAGAGAAAAGTTTTCAAATATTCATGACTACAGTTCTGGAAACATCGCTACAACCTTCCTATGTTTCTAGTCAAGGAAGGCAAGGCCTAAGTTTTTAAAACCAAACATTGTGCCCAAGTCAATCCAATCCACATCTCCTGAGGTTTTATAGCCAAAAGTGATTGGTAAAGTTAGTTTTGGACAGTTGAATTTGTAATCTCTTTAACCTTATTTATCTTTCACTGCCCAACAATGTAGTCGCTTCTTCTTCTTCTTCTTATAAGTAATATCGCTATTTGCTTTGATTTGTTTCCATGCTCAATTAATAATTTTTTTTTCCAAGCTTACTTCTAAGGTGGAGGGTGAGCCGAACTATCTCCACAATTAATATGATGTACAAGATGACAAATTGGTAAATGGAGTATTAGTGACTTAATTTACAAGGCTAAATTAGTTCCAAAATCTAATGTATTAATATTTATATTCTAAATCATGTGCACGTACTAGGTATTATAGTTGAGTTTTTTTTTTGTTTTTATTTTAAGACTTAGGGGATGTCTGTTCAAAGTTTGGTATGAGATTGGAAATGGGATTGATACTTTGAAGGATTCAAAGGATTTCAAAACTCTAACTTTTAGTTCAAGTTCTTGGTTCATATTTAAATGCATTTGTAGATATCCAAGTTCATTTTAGGAGTATATTACATTGCCTACTGAAGATAATGACAACTTCAATACTATCTTATGTGTCAAAATAGCTAGTATTCATTGTTTGAAAATCTTTGTAGAAATAGATACTGCAACCATGGACTACAAGATCAGCCAAGTTTAAATAGTCAATTAGGAAGGTGCATTAGTAGAGGTTATTCCGAAAGATTATAATGTCATGGAGAGAATTACATCATGGTCAACTTAGAAAAGGAGTTTTTTCTTCTAATCGAAATACTAGAAGTATGGGAACGGTTTTGATTGAAGCTCGCTATGAGTATGCAGATCATGTAGTTGATGATAGCTTCTATGAAGCCAATTGCAATTCTACACTTGAAGAGATTGTCCCAAATAAAGCACATAACTTATTTCTTAGTGATACTGACATTGACGACGATTTGTTACAGTCTGACCAAAAGAAAGAATGAGAAGAAAATAAATCATTTGGGCTGTTAGCCAAAGCAAAAGTAATTTAACATTCCACTGCTGTTGAAAAGATAAGTAAACAATGTTATATTAGATTCATCAATTCCCATTGTCAATTCGGTGCTCCAATAAATGATAAAATTATATTGGCTCAAGGTTTACAGCTAAAGAACATCTATCAGATATAGTGAAAACATTTTCCATTAATATTCATCAGGAATATAAAATTGCTTACTCTACTCCTAAATTGTGGGTCCTTAATTGCAACCAAGCACCAGAATGTCCATAGAGATTATGAGCTATTGCTTGTCAAGGTACTTCAATTTTTGAAATTGGAAAATGTGAAAAGCCTCATACTTGTGCCAACTCTATTGCATACAAAGATTATGTTTAATTGGATTTTAGATCTATTGCTAGTCAAATCAGTCATAATAACGTTGATAGCAATTCAAGCTTAAATTGCAAGCAAATTCAGTCATAATATTGCTAAGAAGAAAGCATGGGTGGCAAAACAAAAGGCTACAGTTGAATTGTTGGGGATTGGTTATGATACTATTAGAGATTGCATAGATTCAAGGAAGTACTTTATGCTTTGAAGATGGAAATACAAGTATCGAATTAAAGGAAAAAAAGCCATTGAACAATACCTTGAACCAAAATCAATCAGTGAAAAATTTAAGTATAAATTACTTCAACTATTGTAAGACTAATAAACTACTACAGTGTATAAAGAATAGCTAAAAAGGAAAATTATGGAAAAGAACACAAAGCGCTACCCACACTTAATCTCATATACATCGGAATGGAAGTTGTTTTGTTTGGTAAAGACACGCAATGTAGTGTTAAACAAAATGCTTTGTAGGACATCAGCTCTAACTGCACATCAATATGTGAGGAAAGTACTCTCTAATCATCATGCTCAGATTTTGAAAATTGTAGGATCACAGCTGATAGTTTTTTTGAGATTGTGTGAGTTATATAGAGATGAAGTTACACGACGCACCATCACCAACGACAAGTGTCCATTGAGAATGTTTTTCTTTGTTTTTGAACTTAAGTGTCATAAAAAGGACACATGAATGATTGTAATAAGGTTTCAACACTCAACGAAGACAATTAATCGAAATGTTAACCCTGTAGTGGAAACTTTGGTATGATTCTCACCAAATATTACTGCACCTTAGAATGAACAAATTGTACATGTAAGAATAAGAAATGGAACAAAGTTTCACTCATGGTTGAAGACTTATGTTTGAAATTTGACTCTTTTGAAACACGTCATATTTCAAAAATGTATTTAAAATCCTTACTAGTACTTTTTCAAGGCCAACAAGTAACATCTGATTCAATCATGAGATATGATCTGTTTGTGTATGTGTGGAGATTTTTTTATGTTAATTTTGAAACAAATGTCAGCAATTGCTTATATTAGTAACTCTCATTTCAAAGTCCAGGCGATTGGAGTTTGTTTATTCGAACCTCATCATTCTCCTTTTTTGCTAACCATAATTTGTTTTATTCTTTTGAATATTGCAAGGATATATCTTACTCATTTGTTTTCTGTAGTGCATATCAATTGATTTTAGAATGGATTTTTTTGTGCGTATATTTTGCATTTTGTTGAGATTTGATTTTGTTGTGCCTTTATGTTGAATGAATGGAGTAACATAATTTGCTAATTGTGTATGATTTATAATACATTGAAATGAATCATAGATGTTTTAGTTTGTGAAATCTTTGACCACAATCTTAAGGCTAGAAACCCAAAACTAGTGAACAATATTGGGTTCGAAAAAAGTGTCTGAGTTCATAGGTTTAGCTAGCATATTAGTATACTTGATCAATATGCTTGAATGTAAGGATTTGCTAGTTATACATGGAATTTCCTTTTTATGGTTCTTACTTATCCGTAGAAGCCAGACAGGGGTAAGATGGTTTCTGTTTTATAATTTCTCATTAGTATTAAATAGGGCTGTAAACGAACCGAGTCGTGCCCGAGTTTAGCCCTGCTCAAACTCGAACTCAAACTCGGACCTATTTAACCAAACTCGAGTTCGGCTCGAGCTCGATTGAGTCATAAATTTTAAACTCCAACTCGGCTCAATGCATTGTACAAAGGCTCGAACTCGGCTCGTCAAAGATCGAAATTTCCTTTCAAAAGCAGTTCCATCAAAAGAGAGTTTGCCCAAAATTTTTCCAGTAAGCGACAACTTCGAATCGAGGAAAACCAGAAGGGGATCGAATCATCTAAAAAAGGAGGAGAAGAATTCAATAAATCCTAATATACAAAAATATTGTTAAAAAAAAGAATAAAAAATGGCGCAAGCTAATGACAAATCTCTAGGATAGGTTTCCACCACAAAAAATACATTAGAGTTGACTAAACACTACGAAAAAATAGGCCAGTAACCACGGAAGGTAAGTCGTG